ACTCGAGCCAAACATGAGCCGCATTTCCTCGGCCTCGCGCAGAGCCTCTTCAGCAGCACGTATGTCGGCTGGAGAAGGTGAAATCGTTGAAGCTGGTGACTTGGCCACATCGTGTGGACCCTGAGGCGGGGGCGAAGGCGCGTCAGGAGAGACAGGAACATCGTCGTGATCCTCAGGGTGCACGTCCTTACCCGAAGGCTCTGTAGCAGTTTCTTGAACCGAAGGGACGCTGCCTGGATCAGCAGTCCCCATGTCCACGTCACTCTGGTCGCCGCTGAGGTCGACCACTGCGGGAGTCGAGGAAGACGCTGGTGTAGGAGGTGGCGACCATGAACTTGGAGAAGACGGTACAGACTTGGACCGAGTCTTCATATGACGTCGTGGCGACTTAGCAGGAGAATGAGGACGGGGTTTCTTGCGCTTCTTCTGGGCCGCCTTCTTCCACGCCTTCGGACCGAACAGCGATCTACGAGCCGACTTGGGAGTTGAAGTATCGGCAGGTGGCGCATCACCGAGACCGGCAGCTGCCATCGAAGCACTGGCCTTGTCCGTTGGGATTGGAGCCTTGTCTTCATCAGAGTCGTCCGGATCGTCGTCTGAATCCTCGCCACCTGGTCTAAGACGCTTATGGGACTTCCCATGGGCCACTTGGTGAGCTGCTTTGGCCAACGCTGCCGGAAGGGCTTGAGGATTGTCCGAAGACGCGGTGGCAGACTGAATACGCCGCAGAGCGACTAACGTCTCCTGATCCAAGTCCAGCGCATCCAGGTCCAGCTCACCCGCAGTCAGACCTATCACGAAGGATTGTGAACGACCGTTAGTTGCTGAACACACGGTGGAAGGAGCGACATTAAGAGCGTACCTTCGACAGCCAGACGAAGTACCTCGGGATCCATCCCTGCCAGACTCATGTGTGCACGGAGGGTACGATTCGCTTGGAGGAGGCGAGTGTTACGGTCTTGCTGGTTCTCGAGGACCTTGAGCGTGTCGTTATCGACATACTCGCCCTGGGCAAGCTTTACCAGAAGGAGGTGGAGCTTCCGGGTCTGCTCAGTATTCGCGCCAATAGAAGACTTGTACACTTCGCGTTCGCGAGCCAGCTTCTTCTGCAACGTGCTGATAAAAACGTCCCGAGCTTGGACTTCGCAGTGAAGACGATTCAAATCCTCTGCGTGTCGCTCCATAGTGGCTTGAACACTTGCGAGCATGGCGTCATTCTTGGCGTTCGACTCGCGGAGAATCTTGATGTTGCGGTGTAAAGCTTCAATCTCAGCGTTGGCAGCCTTGTGGAATGTCTCCGCGTTCTCACGGGCCATGATGTGGGGTGCCACCGAACGTACGGCGGCAGCAGCCTCGGACTGAGCAAACCGCAACTGACGCTCCAAGTCGGCAACTCGTTCTGGTAATGCCGACAGCGCGTCAGGGACAGGTTGTATCGCAGCGAGGACATCATCGAAACCAACGGCAGTCTCGAGGCGACGCTGAGTGTGTATATCGCCGTGGAGAGGAGGCGCAACGCTGAGCTGCACTTGGTGACGAGCCATTGCTGTCAAGTACGGGATTATTGAGGTCATCATGTGATCGACCGATGCCTCCGTATTCTCAGCCAGCATGGCGCGCAGCGAATCTTCGGTGAGTGGTGGGGGGCCACCAGCTGGGGCAGGAGGAGCAGCAGGAGCCATCTCCGCGGATTCAGCGACGACGGGGAGTGCTGCAGGAGCTACCACAGGGAGTAAAGAGTCCGGGGCAGAGGGCGCCGGAGGACCGGTTGATGACGCTGCTGTCGGAGGAAGTGCAGCAGACTGAGGGGCGTTCGAACCTTCGGTCTTGCCCTCCTGAGAAACAAGTCGAGTAATGCGAGGTGATGAGCAAGGTACCGATGATTCAAGAGAAGGATGGGCTTACGTACCTCCAGCTGCTCACGCTCGCGACGTCTACGAGGATTGAGACGCTGAAACGCGTCGGACACGGCTCGATTCAGACGCTTGGACATACGGTAGCGAGATGGTGAATTGAAGAATGAAGAAATGTCACAACGGGCACCAGTACCGTGGCTTCCATTGCGACAGGGGCAGTTGTGGTGTAGTGATTTCTCCGTGGTTGCGGATTATCACCCGTCGACAAAGACGTGACACCGCCCAGGTTGTTCAAGCGACGAACCCTCGGTCGGGTGATGTACGGAGACGCCAAGGTGCAAGGGACTCGACGGCGTCACCTCCGAGTTTTCAACAAATATCAGATACGGCCCTATGTCACTGAATCCAGGCTGTCCTTATTATTAATAATGGACTGGCCGGATTCGCATTCAGCGGACCATCTACGGTACGAACCCTCAGTGGCGGTTGGGATGAGTTCGCGGAATACTCAGCGACCTTTGGAAGACACGTTTACCGTCTGGGACAGGGCGCGGACCGTTAAAGATGCTCATGCAACGGTGCAGACGACGCTTGGCATGCAAGAAGATCCATAACGGATCATTGTTCACTTGATATTTGTATACTTGATTAGGACTTCTTATTAGGAATAGACCCGAAAGGGTAAGCTTAAATACAGAACAGAATTTCCACTCAAGCACACAGAGCGACGTCCGGCTTCAAGGTAAGCGTCAGGTCAAGCTTGTTTGAGTATGTTATGCCTGTCGGTGAACTCGAAGCTCTGTAGCGAGGGTTCATCCGGCAAGGCCAAGAGACTTTGTGTATTGGCCGATTATTATCGGGAGGTTTTACGTGACGGCTTATTGTTGCCTATTTGCACGACTGGGAGTGCTTGAATTGTCTCCCTTTTATTTCTTCCAGCCGAGTGTTGAACACTCGGTGATCTCGTAAAAGGCTTACCCGTACCTGGTACCCTTCCGCTGTTGGGACCACGAGGATTCAAAACACCTGCTAGCTTTGCTCGTGCTAGTAGCGTGTTCTTATTTTACTGGTTGGCCTATATAAGTAGTTTACAAGGTCCAGTTTGTCCCGGTGCAAGGGCAGAACTGGGGTCTTCAGGTCCGCCCGAACGATCGTTTACTATCCTAGTAGACGTATTGTTGTGGGAACATCCTAACTACATCTGTAGCTAGAGTTCACGTGGGATTTCCAACACCACACCTGGCTACGTTGGAGGAAATTGTGCGCGCTGGAAGCCGACTCAATGCTGGGCAACAAGCAATCTATGGCCAAATCACTGCCGCAGTAAGCGATCCGGTGGTTGGCAAAAAGCTGTTCTTCATTGACGGACCTGGGGGAACAGGAAAATCTACCTTACTTCGACACATACTGGCAAGGGTGCGGCTCGACGGCAAAATTGCTCTAGCAGTTGCGTCCAGCTATATCGCGTCACTACTTCTTATGGGCGGGAAAACAGCACATTCCACCTTCAAGATACCACTGAAGTTAGACAAGGACTCGACTTGCTCTATTTCCAAACGATAACATTTGCGAAAACTGATCGAGAAGGCGAGCTTGGTTGTCTGGGATGAAGCACCGATGACCCATCGGCATGCATTTGAAGCCGTGGATCGGACGCTACGAGACATCCTGAGCAACCCCCGCGAGCCTTTTGGGGGTAAGGTGTTTGTTCTTTCTGGAGATTTCCGGCAAATTCTTCCGGTGGTAAAGAGAGGCACGCCTGCGGAAACAATTGATGCCTGTCTCAAGTCATCCGACCTTTGGCCTTATTTCCAACAAGTGCGGCTTTGGGAGAACATGCGCGTCCAAACAGCGGATAACCTGACAAGCGCTGACGATATTGCTCAATTTTCAGAGTTCTTGCTAAGGGTCGGAGAAGGGAGACACGAAATCGACCGGGTCCTGGGTGGAGAGTTCTTGAAACTACCCCGTGATATGCTACTGGATAACCCTCCGGACGAGCCAGGTGAAGATGCTGACATTGCGCCTGGTACAATTCCAAAAGGAATGGCCAGAATGATTGATTTCATGTATGCTGATGTGAACGATCCTGATGTCGCTACAGACGAGTACTTCGCCAACCGTACAATCTTGACGACAACTAACGCATTGGTCCACCGCATCAACGAGGCGGTTTCGGGTCGACTTCAAACGACCGCTCATGAATAGCTATCTGCTGACTCCGTCGAAGACGATGACGGAAGTGTCTTCGAACAAGAGTTTCTTCATTCCGTCAACATTAACGGAATCCCGCCCCACAGGCTCATACTCAAGAAAGGCATTCCCGTCATGATGATGAGAAATCTGAACCCGGATTTGGGGCTTTGTAACGGTACGCGCCTGAGGATCGTTGACCTAAAGCCACACGTCATTCACGCAACAATCATGACGGGGGAGCGGCGGGGTCAGCATGCTCTAATTCCGCGGATTATTTTTGTCAGCGACGATGATACTCGAGAGTTTCCGTTTCGCCTACGTCGAAAGCAGTTCCCTGTACAGCCAGCGTTTGCAATGACTATCAACAAGGCCCAAGGTCAAACCCTTATGAAGCTAGGGCTATATCTTGCTACACCGTGTTTCTCACATGGTCAGCTGTACGTCGCCCTATCAAGGGTTACATCACGCTCGAATTTTCGAGCCCTCATTGAATACCCGGAACAGGAGGAGGAAGATGGAGTCTACACAAGCAATATCGTTTTCCGACAAATTTTTGACATGTAAACACATTTTTTTTACATTTTACTTCGTTACATCATTAAAACAATTTAATTTAAAAAGTAAAACATGAGGGGACCGAATTATAAAGTATCGCTGCTATTTTCAATTTAGAAATCATTGTTTGTCCCACCCCTACTCACCACCCTGTCGGAAACTAAAGGGTGATTTAACAAAAACTACCGCCGCGTAGCGGCGGCGCTCGGCTAGTTTTGCGTATCAATCGGACGTGATACCTGGCGTAAACGACTCGCCTACCCCTATTCAATTTGATTGGTTAAATAGCATTATCATCTTGAAAGCTATTGGCTAGTACCACAGCAAAATTATCTCATTGGCTGTAAGATTCCAATACAAAATTTAAGTAAAACTTCATATTCTACCGTATCCATGCTACGGCTGGTGGTACGGGCGCGGCTCGCGCCCTCCGTCAGCGCCTTCGCGCACGATATAGTTCTACGTTGTCAATCTTCATCTGCTCCGTCGAGTAAATTACCTACAACCACGACACACCCTCCCAAATCTAAAGACGATAGCCTCCAAGAACGGATCATCTCGGCTCTGGTGGTCAACCGTCCAGGTATATATTGCAGTTCTAATCGGACGCTATGCTATGCAATTGACGCCTTGAACTCTGATTGTGTAATTATTACATACTGCTACTACCAGGTACGCTGGCGCAGATCGCAGATGTGTTCGGCTACGCGGACCAGAATATCACGGGCCTTTGTGTGCGCTCCACAAGTGGTACCCGAGCTCTCACGCGTCACCGTATCGTGTTTCTTACGTGACCGGGAGCTCCCGGCGCTTAAGAAACGGCTGCGTGCGCTCGTGGCCGTCACTTTCTTTCACCTCACGACTGTCAGTTTCTGCGTGTCCAACGAGCAACTGCTGCTTCGCTCTCAGTTGTTGTTGCAAATCCGACGAGACCCGCGTCACCAGCGGCAATTGCTGCGGATATTACACGAGTTCGGCGCTGAGCTGATCGTTCCACACGATGAACAGGACGCCGAAAGTGACGATCCACTAGTAGCACTGGACGACGAAGAAGACTTCGACGAAGACGGAGTCCCGTTCTCCCGTAGTAGCGCGGCCTCTACGTCTCAATTCTTGACCTTGGCTGACGAGCCAGATAAACTGATCAAGTTCATGGGTGCGCTCACAGAGGAAGGCTTCAAAATCCTCGAGACGCAGACGTGTGGACCAGTATTTCTCGATACCTCCCACTCGACATTAGACCCGGAGAGCGCCTACTCGTTCCGACGAGAAGTTGCATCTGAAGTGGAGAATTTGCTCGTAGTACCGACAGATAACGAGGCGACCACTGCTAACCCTGCGAAGACAGTCAGTGAGATCCAAGGTGGCAGTGCTCATGTGAGTGATGGAACAGCGTCTGCGCTTCGACAATTGAACAAAAATGCCGCCCCAACAGCGATAAACTCCGAGCCAGACCCACTGGATGCCGATGTTATGACTCCTTTACCGCCAACATCCACTTTCCAGCTGCATACAAACGACCAGGGATATTTCTCTCCGAATCGACTTCGGTTGCATGCTCGTATCGCCCAGCAGCTCTACTCTTCTGCGCCCCAGGACTTGAGCATTCCCAAGTTTGTGCTTCTACTAGGTATCCCCGGCTCAGGAAAGTCTACAATGTTGAGCCATCTCGACCTCATGGGACAGCTCACACTGCAGGATTTTGTAAACTTTGACGTGGACGATGTCATTGCACTTCTACCTGAGTTCTACCACGCTATGCTCAATGTGGGGCTGGGCAATGAGCCTGAAAGTCGCAGTGTGACAGATCCTGAAGCTGCTGAGGTGCTTTCGAAGCCTCACGCGAAGCTCTTGCCAGGTCCACAGACACGGTATCAACTTTGTCGAGACGAGGCACGCTTCATTCTCAAGAAAAACCTTCACAGCGCCATTATGTCGCGTAAGAATATAATTCTTCACGGCAGCGGGAAGAGCTTCACCAGTTACGCCCAAACGGTTGACCAAGTCAAGGCTGCCGGTTTTGATGTTCAGGTGATCTGTCTGGACATCCCATTAACGGAGGCTTACAAGCGGGTGAATAAGCGTAGCCGTGGCTATGGGCGTGACGTACCTCGAGCAGTTATCGACACGGCTTCATCGCTGATCACGCGCAATTTCCGTCGTCTAGCGAGTCGTGTGCCTAACGCACATCTTTTTGACAGCACAGCTCTTCCCCCGCGGTTGGTTTGGAGCAAACAACGCTCGGAGATCGCGACAAATCATCCAGATGACGTTGTGCAGCGCAAGTATGGTATTTAACGCACAAAGGTGCAAAGGAAGAGTACAATCCTCAACTCTTGAAGGCAAGGCACAAACAATCAACGCAGAAACAGCTCTTGTTTTAAGAACAAATCTAAACAAAGTACGCAGCAGGAGCAACCGATCCGGGAGTCGAGTCTGTTTGAGTGGCATCGTTCTCGGGTGACACGAACCGGACAGACCGCACTGTGTTCTGCAAACTTTCCTTCATTCCCGAAGTGAAGCTAGCCACGTTGGTCTCGAGAATTTTGCTGTACCCCGTGAAGCGGTATGACATTGCGCCTGTACCTTGGGCAACGTCCTTCTGGGCGACAGATTTCTGAGGATCGTTGTAGTCCTGGTTTTCGTACAGGATCACATCGAAGTTCTTCGTGTCCGACTTGAACAGCATCAGCTCGGTGATGGAGTTCCAATACTTGGCTTCGACTTCTGGCGTGCTATCAGAGTAGCACACACCGTAGCCGTCTCCAGAGTCGGGGGTCCCCAGCAAACAGGCTCGTCCAGCTTCCTCCACGTAGACTTCTTGGACAGAGTGATCACCGCTGATGTTGTACCCCGTGTTGGCCACATCTTTCGAAATCACATCAACATGCTCATCGAAAGGCACGTCCGTCACGCGAACGTTCGCTACAATGTCGCAGCCTTTGCCGAATTTGATACTCCCAATGGTACCCGGCGCTGTGATCGGATTCGCCCTCGTGCAGCTCTTCACTCGCTCACCGACGCAAAATTTGGATCCTGCGTAGTTTATCCGCTCGTAGAAACACACGGAGCAGTCAGCGGTGGCTTTGGGCAGGATGTTGAGCTTGCTTCGGAACTGGTTACACCACGCCTGGTCGTTTGAAGACGCAGCCGAAGCCGAGCAGATTGCAAGGGCGACGAAGGGGGTGAAGCGGACCATGTAGACCAAAGGGTTGAGTCGGACAAGCTGCTACTCAGTAAATTGAATTGTGATGTTTGGCACGACATGCCTCTCCCTTTACATTGCAGCGCTGGTCAGCGTGGAAGAGGAGGCCAAGTGGAGATAGCCATCTGCACCTGCTCACACTGTTCGAACTTTAATTACATGTAATGTAATAGCCACGTGACACATGGAATCTGAAATAGCACAACACCTGAAATGAAAGCAGAAAAGTGAGCTCCATACGACGATACGTGGCTGGTGAGGATATATTAAAAAATAGCTTTACGGCAGAGGTTCTCCACCTTCTCGCATAACTCCAACAAAAGGCTTTGTCTGCAACTCCTGTGGTGCCATTAAGTTTGTCTGGAACTGTACTGCTTTTTCAAGTTCTCATAATGCTGAATTTCTGCGGGCGACACCGATGGAACCACCTGGGCAAGCGCCGTCATAAAGTGTTCTTGACTAACAGGTACACGCAGCTCTTGAGGCGACAATCGGTTGAGCAGCAGACGGATAGTCATGGGGCTGGAGGAGTAGCAGTCCTCCGCATTAATCTCCTCTGAAAAAGACAATCACAACGCACAAAAAAACGATATATCAGAACGGGTCAGCCAACTCAACTGGCAACAACGCAATACGTACCGAGTTGTCTGTCAAGAGCTTCCACTCGATCCTTCAGTGCAGCAGCTAGAGCACTGGAACTGAGAGCGTAGAAGTCAGCGCCTGTAAAGTTCGAGGGGCAAAGCTCCACTACAGCATCCAAATCAGCATCTTCCGCCAGTGTAAACTTCCTCGTCTGCGCCTTCAACACCTTGAGTTGCGCTGATTTCTCGTTGCAAATACCAAGGTACAGTAACCGGTCAAAGCGCCCAGGACGCAGCAGTCCCGTTTCCAGCAGATCTGGGCGATTCGTAGCTCCAATCACAAACACTTGATCGTTCCCACCACCGCTAAGGCCATCGATCTCTGTTAGAAGCTGCGAAACGACACGGTCCATGACACCGCCAGAGTCTGACCCACGGCCCCGCATCGGTGCGAGCGAGTCCAGTTCATCGAAGAAGAGAATGCACGGTCGACAGCTACGAGCCTTGGCGAACACTTGTCGAACGTTCTTCTCACTTTCACCGATGTACATGTTGAGTAGCTCAGGGCCCTTAACACTGAGGAAGTTGAGGTTGCATTCAGTGGCGATCGCCTTGGCCAGGAGAGTCTTGCCTGTTCCTGGAGGTCCATACAGTAAAATGCCAGAGCGTTGGCGGACTCCACTGGCGAACAACTCTGGGTGCTTGATCGGTAGCTGCACCACATCTAAAATCTCATCCTTGACGTCTTCGAGACCGCCCACGTCAGTCCACTTCACATTCGGAATAGACGCATTGCCAATGTTGGCGGAAGACGCCTGGGCTTGCTGGTTCTGAGCTGCTTCCTCCATATCCTTCGCTGATACACAGCACTTGCCTGGAAGATCTTCCGAGTCAGCAAACACCAGATCTTCCAGCGAAACACCACTGAAGTCCGTCTCATCACCAAGAATCCGCTCAATCGCAAGACTCCCAGCGTCTGCAAGCATTGCCGACAGCTCTCCGTACGTCCGACCTGCAGTTAACTGTGCAATCTCCGTCAACTCCACGCCCTCATCAAGCATTGTACATGCTGCCATATGCTCTAAGAACTCTACTCGCTTGGAAAGATCGGGCGCTTCGAGGTGCATTTCGTAAAGGAAGCACTGTCGGATAAACTTGGGAACTTCGTTGACGTTTTCTACGCACGCGATCAATGGGATGCTGTGTTGGTTCTGACTGAGGGAGCGAATACACTCAGAAAGAACAGCACCGATCCGCAACTCCGCTTCCTCGTTGTCCTTCTCGACTGGGAAGAGGTGACTAATATAAAGGAGACAGGGCGCTAACGCCTGAGCTTTCGACACGTAGTCACGTACATTTTCCAGCAGATGGAGCTCTGATTGTCCCGTGAGCTCCGTAAATGGAACCTCCACAGTAATAACTCCCAACTGCTTGGACACTTGATGCACGAGCGTCGTCTTGCCGACACCTCGAGCTCCACTTAAAAGCACTGACACTGGGATCTCGCACAGCTGTGCTGGGTATAATATCTCATACAGCTCTTGCTGGGTAGTTGAAGGCAGTGCCGAGTCAACGATCGGAGCAGTACTACGATGTCTATTGTGTGTCAAGAACTGCTTGATGGTTGATTCGTCAGGAGACGGAGCAGAAGTCGAAACACCTTGCACAAGCTCCGTAGCGTCAGACACTGCCAACGCCAATGCATTTTTATTCTCTCCGTCCAATCTTTCGACTCGAAAAAACATAAGCGAAGTGTCCAGATCCAACGTCGGTGGCATAAGTTCTGTCACAGGTTCGGCAGCTTCGTCGTCTTTCGGCTTCATACAAGCAGCAGGCACTTTCACAGTCTTGTATGGCGCGTAATTTTCTCTGTACCATTTGCTCTCTTTGGGTACATGGGACTGCGTCGTCTCGCGAAGCTCCACAGCAAAGATATCTCCCACTTGCATCACTTTGGGTGTTGCAAAGTGCGCTCGAATAGCGTCCAACAGTCCGTCACGTTGCTGTAACAGAGCGTGTTGACGACACGATAGACTAGCGACGAAAAGTGGAGCGATCATTGCATACGAAGCAGCTGCAGGTTGCGCTTGTTGTTTGCGACGGAACGGTGCAGATGGCTGCACTACCAATCCAAGCTCCTGTGGCAACGCAGTTCGGATACACAACTGTATAATAGTAGCGAGGCATTAGATTGAGGGATGGACATTCACGGATACTGAACTACTCACTGAAACAGACACGTAGGTGGCTGTGGACGAGTGTAAGGGGATGCCGAGATTGAAGGCCAAAAGCGGCGACAGCGTCACGTCCCCATCCTCTTCCACTTTTTGCTCTTCACTCGCACCCACTGGAATATCCGGCAGTAAGCGCAATCTCGCCACGTGGAAGCGCTCTTGGAATTGAAGTGTCACGAACGAGTCGTGCACCACGCGGAGGCGACGCAGAAGTGCCACGTCGGACGTTGTCAATACCGCGAGTGCGTCTCCGGATACAGCAGTGAGCGCTAAGGGCGGTGGTGATCTGTGGATGTTCCACACATGCGCACGCACTGTGTGCTGCTCTGGGGCGGCGTCGACGGCGAAAGACGAGAGCCACATGCGTCCGAGTCGGCAAGTGCGTAAGTGCAGCCATGATACGCAAGCAAACCCCTCGAAGCTCAATGTGAGGTGCGTCACATTAAACACAACAAGCATGTGGACCACTTTACTGCTCCCTCAAACAACTTGTTGGCAACAAGATTTCGTCCAACAAGCACAGAGACGATGAGCAAGCCGGCGGAGAAAACGAACAAGCCGCCCACGGGCAAGGCGGCTCCCGCGACGAACGAGAAGGCGCCGGTGCTTGTGGTGGTGACTGAGGAGGACGACGAGTTTGAGGAGTTTGAAGACGCGGACTGGAGCGGGCAGGCGGAGGAGAAGGAAGCACACATCAAGCAACAATGGCAGGACGACTGGGATGTCGACGAGGCTGACGACGAGTTCTGCAACCAACTGCGGAAGGAGCTTCAGAAGCACAAGTAACTGCACAGCAAGCAGAAGATCGAGCGCGGCTGAAGTGGGGTTAAAGGCATGTTAGTCACGCCACAGCCACACTTTTGCATCGTAATTATCAGCAACAAGATGCTTGTCACGATGCAGCAGGCCGCAGAGTCGTGACTTGAACGCAGCGACATCGCGTTGAGCTGCAGTGTTTCTCTTGTTTTTGAGGTTCTCTCTATTTTTCTACCCAAACACTGGCAATACGACGATAAGAGCTCCACCTGTCCACAGTCTGTCGTTAATGTCGCCATCGTGTGCCTACTAGTGCTGCTTGTCCTGGAGGTGTGCGGGCACGTCCGGTTCGAAGAGCGCGTCGCGCTTCCACTCGGGCACGTACTGCTTGAACTGCGCTGCCTCCTTCTCGTCGTCCATGTCGAAAAAGTCCTCAGGCTTGACGTCAGCAAGGTTGGGGTTACGTGGACGGCGAGCCTCTTTAGCTTGTCTGGCAGCTTGCTCGGCCTTAGCATTGGCTGCAGGGTTAAGCAGCAGTTGGGCCTCCTCCAGCGTCATGCGTGTGTTCATGAGTTTGTCCAAGGGGTCGCGGATCTTGAAGGTCTGGAAGCGGATGATGGGGAAACTGTTCTTAAGCTTAGCTTCCACCTCCTTCAGCACAGCAGGAGACGTGTTGAACTGTTGTACGATGAGTTTTCCCTCGTAGTGGCGCTGCAGGGCACCCCACCGGCGGTCCTCGATGCCGTAGCCCAAGCGTTTCTCGCCGCGATTCTCCGTACCACGGATCACACCGCCCTGGGATGTGATAAGCGACGCGCAGTCTTGGAACACACGCGCCACGTCCTTGGGTGGTGACTTGAGGTTGGTCAGTAGTACCTGCTTGTAGAGCGGCATGGCTTCTTGGCTTCCTTAAGCGCTTCGTGTGTGAGGCGCAGCCACCGGTCACAGCGGGCAATGATCATTGGTCAATTTGTTTAATATTAGCCAATAATGTTGGCGAGCTATTTCGTGGGCTCTTTTTAATTTTGGGGAGGCTCATTGATTAATTTCGGGAGCATGGAGACTCTTCCCGAATTTAGTGGGCCGGGTGGAGGCTGACGGTGGCAGTAGCAGGCTCATTCCAAGCGGTTCCAATAAGTGCGAACGCGCCCCTTTTCTGTATTTTTGGCTCGGGCCTTACTTAAACAGGAGCGCAGCTAGGGATACACTATCATCGCGGCCGCGGTACCAATAAGTGCGAACGCCTGCCGCTACAGGCGCACATTTTTGACCAATCAAAAGCGCTGTTGGGGATGCACTGTCTCGCGTCCACAAGCTCTGAACGTGACGCCTACCGCTACAGTCGCACGTTTTGACCAATCAAAACCTGCAGCGGAACACCAAATTTGCACCACATACATAGATGTCTGGCACACCAGTGCAGGGCAGACCTTCACTTAAAAATAAAACGCCGTGTCTACCTGCTGATTGTTCTCTCCTTACTCGCTAATGCCTATGCCTCCGACGATCACGATCCCAACTGCGACTTCTGCTCCGGGACCTACTTCGCTTTCTCAACTCCGATCTTGATCTTGATCTCGAGCGGTCTTCATATCTCGTACAGAAGCTGCGGCTCCTCGACCTCCTGTGCCGTCGTCGCTCACTATCCATTACTCGATGTCTCTCACTGCTGCGCATGCGTCGAACACGCCCGTGATGATGCCCTCGAGCTTCCTCGGACCTCTCTCGGTGTTTAGAGCTGCGGTCTTTTCTCCTCCGATTGTGATCGCCGCTCTCCTCTGATCGTTGATCTCTCTCCTTTGCTGTGGTTTTCGTGTTCATCACCTGCTGCTGCTGCTGCTCTGCCGACTTCCTGTCCTTGCCCCCTGCCATTTGCACGCGCACAGCCTTCCCGAGGATCTCCATGGATCCTTCGCCCTGGCATGCATCAACCACTCGCTTCGCCGCATCTGGACTTGCAAACCGCACGAAGGCGAAGCCTGGAGGCTGCAATGGTAGCGTAAGAATCGTTACAAGTCCATGGACGTCGATGGCCGTACTCTGCGTGCGATCCATACACTGTGGATCGTCCCGAAGCGCGCAAGCTTGTTTGTGAGGTGGATTTCCTTGGCCTTCGGCAACAAGTTCCCCACATACACGCGGCAGGCTTCCTCCGTCGCCGCCAGCGCCTGCTCTTCGCCTCCCATGCGTATTAATTATGGCACTGAAATTGTGACGATCTCCATTTTCTGATCAGGTCTAGATTATAGATTTAGAGACTTGATTTTGAATCAGACATATTGCGTAATCGACAATCATTCTAAAATCTGATTATGACGTTGAAAAGGTCGGTAATCTGATTCTAGCAGGCGATGAATCAGGTTTGCTCTCCAGTCGTCTGCATACTCAGACACAAAAAGCTCTTATTCCGTTGCTTGGAATCAGTAAGCAGACGATTGAAGAGGCTCAGTTTTGGACCTGACTACAGTCGCCAATAAGAAAGTGGCGACTCGCAACTATCTTATTCTCCGCAGCATAATGACGGACCTTATGAAGGAAATCGACGCACTAAACCGGGTACTGTTCCGCCTGGCGAGTGCAGACGACGAGCGCATGTTGCAGGTGCTGCAGTCGCTTCTGCCTAAACTTCTCACGCTCTTCCCGCGCTCGCTGACGACGCCGTTGGAGCAGCAGCTCAAGGACAAGGTGCCGGTTGTATACCAGCATTTTGTAGACAACATCATGTCTTACGAACATAATTGAATTTTGCGCAGATCTTGCAAGTCGTTTCTCACATCAAGGCTCGTCTCCAGGCGCTGACTCGCCCCTTACTGCCGCTGGACGCGCTGTGCCAAGTGCTGCAGCGAGAGGATCTCTCCGTCTTCACGTACAACCTTGCCCTTCTCTTCATCGGTAAGAAAAACAACCGTTCGTGCTGTTATTTATGCTTATACTTTTGTGCATTCTGCGTGTTTAGAATTGGGATTCGAGGCTGCGTCGACGGAGGAGCAGACGAGAGTTTTGGCGACAGTATTCAAGAAGATCGCGAGCTTGTCGACTGCAAACCAGGAATCATTCTTCAGGCTTTTAGTGCGTGCACTGCCTGTCAGTGCTTCGACTGTAGCTCCGTGTAGGACGAATGCTGCTGAAGGAGAAGAGCAGGAGGACGAGGTAGGGACAACCAGCGAGCAGGTCTACGAATGCGACGCCAACAGTGGCGCGATGCTGGATTTTATACTGGACCTGGTACTATATGAGCTGCCCTCCTCGACCACTACGGGTGCAATGACCTATGGCTTGATGACGTCGCGAGTGGAGCGATTGCAACGCGTCAAAGTGACCGAGTTACACCGTGAAGCTCTTTACGAACGTCAGCTGCACGGCCTGAAGCTTGTGAAAGAGATGGAACTCCCTACAAAACTCAAGATCCCTGTCTATGTAGCAGGAAGTGCTTCTTTCCACCACTCGGTGAAGGCATTTAGTGACGAGCAGCTCTCCCGTGCAATTAAGTACGAAGAGAAGGAGCTGGAGGACGCAGATGTGATGCGCCGACTGATGGCGTTGGTGCTCGGCAGCCAAGTGGCTCAGAGCTCCCATACTTTCGAGGCTGTGGATGCAATTCTATTGGCCAATCGAACACGCTTGGCCGACGCGAGTATTTTACAGACGCTGACGCTGCTGTCGGCCTCTGAAGCTGCAACGAACGTCCTACCGTTGATGTTGCAACTGTTGTGCCAGTTAATGTTTGGCACTGAGCCGTCACGACCACCAAATGTGGCGAGCAAGATCAAGCTAGCAACTGTGCGTCTGTGTCAGTGGACTTTCCACCATTGCCAGCTCCCTGTGCTCGAAGGTTTGCTCGGCCCAGTGCTGCTCCCAACTCTGCTTCGCCTACTAATGAATCCACATGCCGACAGCGAGGCATCCAGCGCGGAGTTTGTGCGGGAATTCCGTCAAGGGGTCTATGATGCGCTGTCCGTACTTGTAACCCGCACGCCCGCACTGGTCGCTGCATCGGAACAGGCTTTCCAGGTGCTGCTTGTGCGTTGTCTTGCCGAAGAAGAGCATCGCACTGGTGCTGGGGCGAACGCTCTAAAGACGTTTACTTCTTTGGCAAGCGCATATGCGGCAGCAGCCACACCAGAAGTGAGGAGAACAATTCACCAAGAGCTGGTCGCGCTACTAAACGGATCGAAATTGTTCGATGGCAGCAAAAACTATGCTCGCGTTCGAGCTGCGATTGCTGCGTGGTGTGCTGAGCTGTTGGCAACTTCTGGTTTTGGAGGAAATGAGGACATAATGATGCGCTTTGCCGTGTTGCGCTTGGGGGCAGCCCCAGACGAAGAGACTCGACGTCTGTCGGATAAAGCTTTATTCTCCAAGCCATTGCCATCGACGGGGGCATTGGCAAGAAGCCTGAGAGCTAATTACCCACAGGAGGATCTGAAGGCGAGCATGCGTGATGCCGGGGCAGCTGAGAGCTGCGCCCGATTCTGTGTCGAAATCTTGAAAGCCTCGCGCAACTCCAACAGCCAAGGAGACGCTGACGATCGGAGATGTGTGGTGGAGTACCTTGTACAGACGCTTTTGGGGACAGCAGGGTCCCAGTATTCCACCACAGCGACGCCTGTGTTGGTCTATGAAACAACAGCAAGCTCTTTGGTCGAAGTGTGTGGGTTTGACGCTGAAAGTGTGGGTGCCGTCTTGGCTGGTCAAGTGAAGGAGCTCTACGATATTGTTGTGGTTAGCCAAGATCGCATGTTCCTGTCGAACATTGCGGAAATTGTAGCATGTTCCTGCAGAGCTGGAGCGTTCACAATCAGTCAAATCGTGACAGACATTATCAAGGTTGGCTTGAGTAAGCTCGAAGCAGACATGTGCTCAGGAAAACAGCTTTCGGGTGCTTTGTATATTCTTGGAAGTGCGTTGGGCTACCTTGGACAGGATTCTGCTCTCGTCAATGCTGCGTCAAGCGAAGAGATGCAGCTGGTTCTGTCTTGTTTCCAAAGGGTGGCAGACCTTTTGGAGAGGAAAGTTACGGAAGGATCAAACTTTGCTTCCTACCCGAGAAGTGAACTTGCTTTAAATGAGCATGTAGGGCTCCTACGCAGTGTCATGGATGGTACAGGTATCAGTGGTACCTTACAGTGCTTCATGCGAGGTTCTGAGGCTGGCGAATGGAGTCGGCTTAAGGTGAAGACGCTTGGGTGTATGAGACGAGTGGTTGAGTGGAAGATAAAGGCTGTCCATTTTGATGATCAACTGAGTCCAAAGTTGGCAGCGTTGAAGCGAATTGCAATCGAGAATCTCGGCCGAGCTGTGTCAGGGTTACCAGGAATCGCCACCTCGTCTGAGGCATCAACTGGCCTCGAAGCAATCTTGAACGTTCTGCTGGATCTCGGCAATGAGACGGATACTGAGCTCCAGTTCGACATTGGCCAAGTTCTTGTCGCACTCGGAACTCACGATGCAACTGAAGAGTTCGCAGCTGATCGCCAGTCCAAGTACGACAACTTCGCAGAAAATCGCGCAGCCATCATTTTTGAGCGCGTTTTGGCCGATTGTGCTGGATCTCGACAGCCGAAAGTTCGTCGAAACGCTGCGATTTGGCTGCTCTGTATGTGTGCAGCTGGTCTTGGACCGTCATCGGGAGGTGACGATGCACTAATGTCAGCTACGTCGTGGGGAAGCGTGCTTGGATCCTCCGCCTATTCAGAGTCAGTACTGGAAGTTCACGAGTTCTTTGTGACGATGCTGAACGACGCGAACGAAGTCTCAAAGGAAAGCGCAGTGAAGGGACTTGCTTACTTGCGACTCCGTGCACCGACCGACGACATGGGCGTTCAGTTCAGCGACAGTTTATTCCTTCGACTACGATGTTTCCGAGCCTTCGCGTCTACCGCTGATGCTGCCGATGACGATGAAAATACAGATAGAGGGAATGAGTCAGCGATAGCGCCAGCAACTGCTGCGTCTACGTCTACGTCGTCATCAAGCTCTACGGTGAAGAATGCAGCTTATCGTGAGGTCAGCAATGTTGCAGCAGACGTTGGTGACCCGGAGCTCATGTACGCACTGCTTTACTTGAGCACCGCCGACCCAATATGGGCGTCATTGGCGTCATCGTCTACACCCACTACGTCTCTGCGATCCTGTAGCTTCTCGTTCGTCGTGACGGACAAAGAATTCCGCGCTTCCATCGTAGCCAAAGCTGGCAGTCAATGGATGGCCGAAGACTACTCCAACAAAACGAAACTGGTGCCGTGGCTGTACCTGCTCAAGTTTCATGCAAATAGCAGAGTGGCTGCGGTCATGGGCAACTTGTGGGAGTTTGCCAAGGGGAATCCCGCCACTGTCAGCACAGCAAAAGGAGAAAAAACGTTGCTTCGACAGAACTGGACGCTTCTGTTCCAGTTCGCTTTGGCACGACTGGAGAACGCCCGGAATTTCAAGTACCGTGAAGCTGCGTGTCTTGCACTTATTGACCTGCTTAACGGATCTGAGGCTGAGGACGTACGAGATGACTTCTTACGACTTTGGAAAACGGCGTCGCGTGCGGTAGACGATGTCATGGAGGCGGTTGCTCTCTCTGGGGTAAAGCTCTATCGCTATCTCGGCGAACTGAGCTTGCGTGTAGCTGCAAGTGATGCATCGTGTCGCTCTCAACTATTGGAGTTCCTCGTTGAAAATGGAATCGTAAGCAAAAACACCATCTGTCGTGCACTGAGTATTGACGTATTGCTACGTCTTGTGAAGACGCTGAAGGCTGTTGACATGCAAGACCGCTTGGCGCCGCTGCTGTTGAAGCTTCTCGAGTATTTGTCGTCGCTGGAAATGCCCGAGTTGCAGTACGCGCAGTTCCACGTGGAAAAGAAGGACCAACTGGAGCGTCTGCGAGTGTCCATCAGTCAGGCAGGACCTGTCGGTCAATTGCTGGAGTTGGCGACGACTCGTCTGAAAGAGCTTGCCGACTCTCCAACGTGTGTAGCGGTAGTCTCTGAGCTCGTTCGTGGCGTCTCCAATCTGCTCAAGTTCGGCGTCGGACTCAACACTCGTGTGGGTACTGCCAATTTTGTAGTGACATTAGCAGGTAAACTTCCGTTTGAGCTTCGAAAGTGCAACGGAGCTGAACTGCTGCTGCGTCGTGTGTTTATCCCGTACGCGGGTGCCAAGACTGCGGCCGAAAACGATCAATATGGAGACGAAGAGAGCAGATACGGTGCAGGTCATTCATCCGAGCAGACTGATGCGAGTTTGACGGCGACGTCAGGATTAGCGGATGGGTTGGTCATCCAAAGCTACTGTCGAGCTGCTGCGTATTTGTGTCCCCTGGTGGATGCTTGTACAGTTCGTGACTACGTGCGCTCGGGCATCTTCGCTTTCAACAAGGCTGCTAGTGAAGGTTCCAGCCCTTCGCCCTCTCCCCAGAGCCACAGCGACGAAGACGTTGTCATGGATGAAGCAGAAGAAACTGTGTCGAAGTCACCCCAGGTTTATACAAGCCGATACTTGCTGATCAGCGCACTAGCAACCAAAGAGCTCGTGAACAAGGTCCCACCTATCGCCGATGCAGGCACCGTGGTGACTGACGATCTGCGCAACACTTGGTACTGCGCGCATGTGTTCCCTGCAGCATTTATCGGGCAGTTTGCTGCTACAGACGCGCTGAAGAACTCATGGGTGGCCGTGCTGGACGAGTTACCACCCACTGTTTTATACGCTTCGAGCTCCTTGGACGCTGTTTTGCACTCAATTACTTTGCTTTTGGCCCATCCAGCTTGGGATACGCGACGACAGGCGGCACGTGCATTGCAGGCGATTTTTGCGAGCTCAACGTACCGTTCACGACTGGCCATGGAGCAAGTTGAGCGCATCTGGCAGGAATTAATCGATGCTGTACCAGGTCGTCTTTGGAGAGGCAAGGGTGTCATTCTGGAGTCAATTGTCTCGTTGGTGGCTGTAAAAGGGGAGAGCACTGCTGATGGCGAGTGGATGCAGAAGCTGTCCCTACTTCTGATTGATGAGTGTGCTCGTGCCTGGAAGAACCAGGATATCGCTTACCTCGAGAGTGCCATCGTGAACCTGGGGAGGTTTTCGGCGTTGTTACCAGCCGAGCAGAGTCAATTGCGTGGTTCCAATGTGCGATCGCTGAGAGGCGCATTTGCTGAGTGGATGATTGGGAACGAAGCGGATTCATCCAAGTCAACAAAGCCGTCGTTGCCTCCGTTACTGATCAAATGCGTTTTCGAGGCGCTTGGACTTATGTGGCCAGCAGCACGATCGAGCACGAACGACAGAAGTGCTGAGACCACAGTGGAGACCATGCTGTGGCTGTGTACTAGTGTGGAATCGCCTCATTTGGCCGCCTGGAGTGTTCGCAAAGCCATTTTTCAGGCATTGACTGCAGTTGCGGAGCGTGCACCGGCGGAGGCGCTTCTCAACGACAAAAATGCACTGGAGCGTGTGGTTGATACTTGCTGTGGGTCGTTTGGTGTGGCTGATGGCAAGTATTCGATGGTGCGTGTAGCTGCGGCTGGAGCGCTTACGGCGTTGCTCGAACGAGCACAGAGTGACTCGGACGTGGCTCTGCGGCTAGTTGTGCAGCGGGAACGCGTGCTAACTGCAGTGCAGACACTGCTACGTAGCGACGAAGCGTCGGAACAGCAAGCGGCCTTCAATTTGAAGTCACAACTAATGCAGGTACCGTAGATTCGACCATCTACCGATATATTATACGCTAACCGAGAATATCGCTGCTAGAGATTTCAGTGAGGACGCCCAGTACAAGTATTAATAGTATTGTTATACGGCTCGATCGACACCCACTATAGTACTGACGGCTGAACTGCAAGCAAGCGAGCAATCCAATTTGTATGTATAATTTACATATTTGGTACCAAAATCAAGCAGCGCCATAAAAGGATGTACTTAAGTATTACACAATCTAAAAGCTCTGTCAAAAATTGATAGCACAAGAATGGAACTATCAGTCCCTTTTGGAGTGGGTCGCAACGGTCAGTGACTACTACTATTAAATGGAGTCGAACATTATGAAATGAAATGAAAACAAAAATAAGCATCGACGTGTCCAATTTGTAAGCGGAGGAGTGCACAATTACTGTAGGATAAGTATATTCCTGACGGAGACCCCACCCCTACTGTAAGCTAAAAAAATCCACAGCCAATCGCTGGACAACATGTACTTTTATTTGCTCAAACCACCAAAACCCGCTATTTAGGGGTAGGGGTAGTTTATTCCAGCTTAATTCCGGAATTGTCCGGCTTTCAAGAAATTTCGAGATAATACGCCTTAGTAAAATCAAGGCACATCATGTATTATCGCGTAAAAGGCGTCGGTACCAGAGAAAAAAATCATGCGGTTGAAGAGTAAATATAGACTAAAACTTCACGAAGAGGCGCCATGCAACCGACCAGCTTGCATTACGCGCGGGATTCACACTGCGAGAGGCAATGAGAAGAGCTTCGCGAGGTCTGGACACTCCTGCTGGCACAATAGGGCAAGAGATTGCGGCGGAGAAGATGCTTGAGGAGTTCCTCACTTCAATAGGATTATCGAAAGTCGTTTTAGATGGCATACATAAAGCTCATAGAGAATTAGCTAGTCTCCCGACCCAGAACATGTACTCATTGCTAACAGCTTTTTCGATTTACATACAGACGAAGAAAAGCAACAAGGCGAGAGCGGCGGATGGACTACTAGCAAAATCGACAGTGCTAGGGTATTTTGCACAAGTTGTGAACATGCTTCGCGAGCGCTACACCAACTCTCTTGGTGACCCTAAGAGAATTGCCAAGATTCGGGACAAAATGGCATGTTACATAGAAGAGAGGAATTTGCGCGCAAATGTGCAAACCAATGACGCTCCTGGGTGTAACGTGGATGATCTAAGTGTACTCGTTGGGTATCTAATTGCGAAAGCTGACGTGGCTACCGGTTTGAAGTCTGTACATGATGCGGCTCTGTTGACTATGATGTGGCATACATTTGGAAGAGCTGTCGATACCTGCTTTGCACGTAAACAACAGCTCTCGATTTCAGCTTCTGGGAGCTTTTCCTACACATTGCCCGGATCAAAAGCTCTATGGTTCAAGGCGTCTCAATATATAAGTCCCCGGAGAGATGGCAGCAGTGTATGCTTCACGCATTTGGGTTGCTGTTTATCTGCTACGACGAGCCCTCCGAGTATTTGTTTCCGTTGGCACATAATTTCGCAGAGTCCGACCTTCCTGGTAATAAACCGTATTCACAAGAGGAAGCTGTTTTGTACTGGGGTCAACTATTAGAAGACGATAACAGCACGTCGGAGCCGCCCCAAAAGCGAGAGAAATATCGCAAGTTATATTACCGAGGTCATTAGAGATTCGTTGAAGTCGATGCCTCCTGATCTCAGCCAAACGGTGACGCCGAACATGACCAGCCACTCCATTCGCCGTGGAGCCGCTGCGTACGCCAATGCGTCGCCGAAGCTGTCGATTCAGTGGATTTCTACTCGCGGGGCTTGGCTGTTGGAGTCACTAACCAAGGCGTTTGCCTACATTGGAACGACAACAAAGGAGGATCAGAGCGTAGCCAAAGTGTTAGCAGGGTACCAAGCTCCAGACCTACCTGTGGTAACGCCGACAATTCGTGATCTACAGCAGCGTTTGACGGTACTGGAATTTGGTCAGCTTGTGACCCTTCGAGACGAGCTGTACCGCCACGTACTTGGTTTCCAGGACGCTCGATTTAATGCCGCATTGGACGTCGTTGATTGCACGTTTGCATCGCTGCTAATGCACATGGATGAGGCTCGCATCCACATCGAAAACACCATCCAGCACCTCGGTCTCGTCGCGCTACATGTACGAGCTGCATCGCAGTATCGCCTCTTCCAACGCTCGTCTTGGCTCCTGCATCACGATACGAACATGCTGTGAGTGGGGGGCGTACCTGAGAGCTCACTGGAAGACGGCAAACCACGTGCAGCTTAGCAATGCCGTCGCTGGTAACGACACGCTGCTATCATCCACTCTTAACAACATGTTAGCCCAGCTTGTGAACATTAGCGAGCGACTTGGTCGCCTTGAAGACTCGCAAGCCCAGATGCAGAGCCAGGCCTTAGGGAGTACTCAGACGCATCAGCAGTCACCACAGCTACCTACTGCTGTTGAGGTTGTCGTCCCAGCTTCAGCGTCAGCCTCCACCCTTGCTGGATGCCTGCTCAACTGGTACACTAACCACATATGGCAAACGGTTAAGGTAAGAAGGAACAAAACCAGCGTGCCGAAGCAAAGGCAGCAGTGCACATAATGATGGCACTGTACCAGAAGCCGTACCAAGTCCCAGAGGAGCCTCCACGAGCCGACGTCGCAGCTTACAATGCCTGGAAGCACGTAGTCTGGGAGCTGGCACTCAAGCTGGATACAGCCGCGAACCAGCGTCTCCACGCTTTCGACCAAAAGAAACCAACACGCAAAGCTTCGTCCCTTCGCAAGCGCTGGCGCCTGCTGCGTACGTCGCATCCTGAAGCGTATCGCTCGCTTGGAGCACAGTATCTTGTCTTGAAATCCAGTGGTTCCCTCGTAGATGCCTGCACACCTCCATCACATCTGTGGACAGCAGTTGACTTGGATTGACAAGCCGTTGGGCAGCACAGTACAGCAAACATAAGCACGAGCAAACAGCACTCACCAGCATCAACACCATTATAAGGCAGTACACCACAGTAGATAGTTCAGCAATCAGTACAGCCTACATTACAAAGCATCACACACCACACACAATGCACATGTGGTGAAGTGCTTTCTCAGCAATAAGAGAATGGGCCTGACGCGGGGTCACTATCCCGAATCAGTGACAATTTTAAGTGATTAGAGAGGATTTGGGTTGGTGGCACGGATGCAAGTTGCCGGTGGTGGATTAGCCATGACGAGCAGCACCCCGTATGAAATGACGATGGATCTGGTATGAGCGATGTACGAGAAGGCAAGACCCACCAAGACTTACCTCGGATCCACCCTTACCTGGATTCACTTAAATGGATATGGGATATACTATACAAGAGTGGATCGGGTGTGGATCCTATGAAGGAAGGATGGTCGGTGCCCTCTGAAGGTGGATCTAGTAGCCACGGCTAATGAGGAGTCAAGATCCACCGCGAGGTACCCCGGATCCCATACTTCCGAGCTCGGATCCATGGAGGGAGGATCCCGCCTTGAGGGAACTGGATCCAGGGTATAGGGATGATGGATGCAGTGGATCTCGAACTTTCGTGGGACAATGGAGATCACAGACGGTTGCGAGATGAGGTTGGATGATTGGAGAGCTCAGATCCACGACGAGTGTACAATTACAGTGAAGTGGATCCAAGCGACCTGGATCCGGATGAGTGTACCCATAATAGGGTGACCATAATGATTACGTCATGGATCCGGTGGATCTGAAGATAACACAACTGGGATGATGGGTCAAGGGAAGAAGGGACATGCAGCCGAGCCTGGTAAGGGATTTAGCAGGTGAAAGACATAGAAGGTAGAAATCCAGGCAGGTATAGGCTTAAGTATCAATACAGACCCCAATTTGCACAGTAACGCGCAAGTGCCTTCCTGCCCTCAAGAACCGGAACTACATTGGCCGTACGAGCTCCGAGAAGGTTGGGAATTGCGAATCTAGTGTTGGTAGTGATAACTGGATAATACATTGGCCAGATCCTACAACCTAGTGAGCTTTTCCTATACACGTGCAGATCCGACAGGTTAACCGAATTTACTACTTGGTCGGTTACACCCTAGGGGCTCTCAACTCTCAAGATCCCGTCACAGGAGGCGGCAAGTACAACGCAAAGGAACGCAAAGGCAACGGACACACCCGCAAGGCAGCCCTACGGCCAGATCCACGATATAGGCCCCGGATCCATAAGCTCGAATATTCGCTTAGGATTCGGAACAATCCACGGACGCAGAGTGAAGATTTTCCACTGCTGCTCCACCCCATCCCCACGTCTCGCCAAGACACTCAAGCTTCACCACTTGAACTCTTCGGAAGTTACCGAGAGAGCAAGATCCCGCCCTACCGACGGGTACACAAGGTGAGGAAAGTTCAGCAGAACACGGATCATCGGGGGACCCCCTCCGTTAGTCGGTGTCTGGGCGCAGTTGGTAAGTGGATCTGGCAATCTCGCAGATTTTGCTGATCCCGCTACACCACAATGGTGCGCGTGCCCGGATCTTGTGGTGACTCGGGATTTCACCGTGAGTCCCAAGAAGATGCTCAAGTGAAGATTGAGCCAGGGGAAGAGGCGTCGTCGGAGGTCGGATCGACGAAGACGCTGCTGAATGAAACAAGATCCGCGGATCGATGGAGTTTTGGGAGGAACCCTGTCGACGGAAGAGAGGTGGATCCGGATCCGGATCTAGAAGAAAAACCTCTCTATCCTCCCCAGGTCCCCTCGGGGACCCCTGCGGATCTTGACCCAAGTCAAGATCCGCTAACAAAACAAGGAAAAGTGAAGGCGAAACGGTATGCATTTGCAGATTCACCGGTTAAGCCAACACTGTACCTAAACCCAACCCCGCTAGTCGAAGAAACGAGAAAGAAGACGAAAACGAGTAAGACTACGCGGAAGAAGATGCAAGCTCCAGAGTCGGAAGAAGACCAAGCTGGATCCAGGTCAAGCTGGTCAGACAAGGATCTCGAGTTTGTGTATCGCCACCAAGCTTTACGCGACTTCCTGCATCAAGATCC